TACGTTCGTTTGAATTCATGTTCTGTAAGACGTCAGAATTTGAAACTGATGAAAGCTTAGGTAATTTAGAAGGAAGAAGCAGCACAAATAGAAAATGCATTTACACAAAAACTCAAGGTAAATCTCTGATCGTTTACAAAGCGTATGATTAATTCAGAAACTAGGTAAGTGAGTTCTATGTAAATTTATGTAAACGAAGATCTGTCAGCTTTTCAACATTTTCTTTTATTGCTCAGCATAACAAAAAAAATGGACAAGATATGAAGAAAATCCTGGTTAGACACAGAACGTTCGACAGCGTTACAACCTTTACGTTTCTTCTCTGTAATTGATGAGGTTCAAAGAGAATTCTTCATTATGGATTTCTGGAAATTGGATAAACTTACAGTACAACAAGACAGGAATTGGATAAACTTACAGTACAACAGGACATGGTTTGTCGGAGGGTAGCATGATGTCGTCAGAGAATCAGGGTGTACCGGTGTGTATATATGTGGCGGGGATCTGTGATCACCAACGACCGCCGGATGTAGAAGTACGTAATTTCATACTTCTATTCGTTTTTCAAGTGTGGGAAGGAGAATATTGTTTATATAAACGACAGATCCAGAGTAGAATTAAGGTCCACATTATCGGACACGGGTGCAGAGCTTGAATCCACGACTACCCGAGAGTAACCGACGAAATATAATGTTAAGTAATGAGGATCTAAGTTTCGTGTTTTCATTTAACCGGACACCATGCACGACATTGCGTGAGTGATATGTTGGGATAGAAAAGATCAATCGCCTTTTTTTCTGCAGGACCTTATGTTGCAAATATGACAGAGCCAACGAGTTGGCATAGGAAGTTTTCTAGCCCTGTCGACCACAGACTATCAATTATTTCACTTCATAGTAAACTTCTTGTTAGATTAGCAGTTCCAACAAATAGAAATCATTGAAAGATTTCTCGAATAATTCTTCAATCCAAATCAGAATCATACTTTTATGGCTAATTACACAATTTGGCTAAAAGACTGTGTGAGACAAGATAAACGCTTTGAAGACTGAATAAACATGTTAAATAAATTAATATAAATAAAAGATATTGCAAAAAATACTGATCATTTTGGATCAGCTAATAGACGAGAAAAATCAGTCAATGAATATACAGTTTTTATCAAGAAATTATTCTCCGTTTACAGTAGAAACGGTCCTGTGTCTGACGATAAACTATATACAGGGCCTCTGATTGGGAGATGGGAGATTTTGAGGAGTGTGGAACCACCTCTTAATTGCTATTGTTCCCAGGTCCACCCTGACACGATGTGGTTGCACTCATTAGGGTCCAAATTATGGGCAAATAGTGAACCCCTGAAATATAAAGAAAACCCCACGAAAGTATAAAAATACATATTTATAGTAAAAATACCAGCAAGACATTTTTATATAAAAAATAGCAACAATACGTATTTATAGTAAAATTACCAACAATTCATCAATCAACACGAAAGAACTTTCATTAATCCATATAATATCCTACAATTTCTTAAATTAAACTGCATTCCAAAATATAACTTCAACAATACTATGATATAAAATACACATACCTCTTAGTAATTATGTCCACACAAACAAAAGCTGAGTATCATCTACCATGTATTCAATTGTGATAGCAAAATAACATACATAATAATTTTATAATTTCAAAGCTCCCAAGAAAATAAAATTTTGCCATTAAAGGACCAGTAAGGTGTCGATATGCTGTTAAACAAACAAATGAAATCATTTACAGTAGAAACAAATCTTTGAAAAATCATTTCAGATATTGATAGATACAGGCGAATGAATGAATGAAATGAAAGCACTCAATAATATTGAGCGAATGAATTTTCAATTGGTGTGAAGAACAATCTTTTTAGTAGTTTTAAAATGATAAACTGATTAGCTACTAAAATAATCATTAAACAACTTCTCATTTGCCAGCTTCTATTAAACAGGTCATTTGGAAGGCCACTCTTGCGTTCCAAAGACAAACTTATAGACAAGCTGAAGCGATGCAGCATCCCCTTTTGTTCCTGGGAAAACAAAGCGTCAGAGCTGGAGCCTGTTCTGATTTCCATCTATACAAAGGTTTAAGCAAAGCAGACACGAACGTCTGGGTCAACTACGTGCAAATATTAAAGAAATTTGGCGGCTTCTTCTCAATGATAGCCTTACCTACCACTGTGGGTTTGTCGCACGCAGTAAAGCAGGCCTTGCTGCCCACCCGCGGAAACATTTGGCATTTGATCTTCAACAACTCAAGCAAAATGGCTCAACTACATGTTCCATCTATCTAAATGTTTGTAAAACACCTTCAGATCTTAGGAGACATGCGTGTCCATAAAAATTGAGCACCTCTTTATTTTACTGAGCCCTCATTTGAGTCCACCATATATATATATATATATATATATATATATATATATATATATATATATATATATATATGCGTGTGTGTAATAATATTTAATCTATCTTTTAATATGAGAGAAAATAATATATAACATTTTATATAATAGAACAATATTAATGACAAAGTAGAAAAATCTTTCGTGCGATGCGTTTCACACTTTGACATTTCATTGGACCAAGGGGAAGTAACTACAAATGTGCATGTACAGGGGACGTTGAAATTTTTAATTTTTACATTTCAATTATTATTATTATTATTATTTTCTTTTAATTAGGGTACTATATTGTCTATCCATTTTCAGTTATAGTTTATTTTCCCTTTTGTTTATATTTTTACGCTTTTGTTATTAAGTATCCCACATTTTGACAATAGAAAATTTTTCTAAAAAAAGTGAAATGTTGGAAGAATCTGGACGCAAATTTACTGCTGATGATCTAGTAATTAAAGCACTTTCTATACATTTTCATCTTAGCAAATTGCTTTCTCTTTTAATTAAAGTAGTATTTTTTAAATCAAAATTATGGTCAGACTCATTACAGTGAATATTGTGCGTGTCGTTTTGTAAAAGATACCTTTAGCTTTTATATAACCTTTTAATTTAAATTCATTGAGGTTTATACTATGCATTCCTTGTGGCAATCATTACAGGCAACTGAGTCAATTCCTCCTTCAAATTTTAGCTTTTTATTATTACTATTATTTTTGTATTGTTTTGTATTAAATCAGTTATTGTTTTAGAAGTCGTTGTTACACATTTTGTGTTAAGATTAGATAAATACTTTTCAATTGTAGCTGCGATAGAGTTGGTCGGTAGAACAATATATTTTGATTCGTTGAGTTTGTTAGAATGGCCCACTCTACTATTTTGAAATATTTTACGAGCCTTTTGTTTCACGCTGAATATGAAATAATATTAATATATCCTGTCATTGGTATTTCTTAAGAAAAGTCATTATCTACTAAACTGTGAAGAAAACCAATCTTGTTATTAATTTTAAAATGGTTATCGTGATAAACTCATGGATGGTATGTTTTACAAGGTTTGCGTGTCAACTTTGTAAAATGCATGAACATCATCAGACAGATTTCAAATGGAACTCGGCAAACATTAAGAAACGTGCGTGCGATAAAACGGAGTGTCAAATGGACGCTTTTCCTATTGACGACATTTTTTTTTAACTATCTGCACATTTCGGCAATGTTTATTGCTTTAAAAAGCGATAATCATAATTTTAATAAAAATAAACATATGTATTTACACATTTTCTTTATTCTTGAGAATTGACAATAAAAATAATAAACACTATTCATTAGATTGTTTATTTACACTATTTATTATAGAATTGAAATGGTTGGCAAAACATCGGCTAATTGCCGATCTTTATAAAATGGTAAATCATAAGGATTTCATTAAAGTTGGTTCATATAATTTAATATTTTAGTAAATTTATGAATAAAAAATTGTTTTCATATTTATTTACTGATAAATTGGTAACTGATAAATATTGCATTGCATTTAGTTGTAATTGTATTAGTTTTTAGATTGTTGGAAATATAAAATTTTTCTTGTAAATAAACAAATAAAATAGTGTTTAATACTTTTGTTGTAAATTCTCAAGAATACAAAAAATATAAGGTAAACGTAAGTAAAACTAATAAAAAAAAGAAGCAAGTTAACTAATTGTCTAAAATATTTTAAAAGCGTTTGCAAACTCCTCTTATTGCTGATGGTTGTAACTGCCGCTAAAGGAAACAAAAATATATTCTTGATAAGATTTTCAATCACATTTAAAATGTATTAATAATCGTAGTAAAAATCTACTCGTCTGAAATTCCATTCAGTTGATATTAATAGTTTATTTTTTCTTTAACTTCAATGTGCCGACATTGCATTTTAACTTTAAGCCTTCGTCAAAATGCTGTAGTCTTTCTATATCAATCCCTATAGAATTGCTTGAACAAATATCCTATTTAAAATTGTTGAAAGCACCGAGATATGTGCACACGTAGACCCGGCGCTCAAAATACATTAAAAGAAAAAGAAAGTTGTTGCATCAATTTGGAAGTCGGCAAAAAAAGACGTAAAGTGAGACATTATTTCTTATCGCTTGGTAATCTCTGTTCTTTTCTGGCATTTATAAAAATTATTATGACGTCGTGTCCTAAATAGTGACGAGTTGTTCTCTGCTACTCTTGGAAAGCGAAGGAAGATTAAAGCTTTATGAAAGAAATCTTATCGGATATTGGCAAGGAATAAAAACTCGGTTCATTATTTTCTTTAGGCACATTTAAAGCCTCTCTGCTTTAATGCTCTAGTCCCACCGAAGATATCGGTAGTGAATGGGTTAGGGTTAGTCATATTGATTGTGTATTACATACGTACCAGAACCAACAATGAACTGGTTGGCGATCAGTGACATTTTATCTGCGGTGTTTTGAAAAAAATAAGGCTGTTCAGATGGAAGCAATAAAGTAAAAAGAGAACAGACACATGCACACACATACACACACACACATGCCCTCCTACCCCCACCCCCACACACACACTCAAAGAAGAAGCATTAATGCAGAGAAAAAGAGTTATAAATAATAGAAAAATAACGGTATGATGAGAAACTACTAGTGGATAATAGAGGAAGAGGGTGAGTGAAGAAGAAGAAGGAGAAGGAGGCGACGAAGGAGAAGGAGGCGACGAAGAAGAAGAAAAAGAAGGAGGAGGCGGTGGCGAAAAGGAGGAGGAGGAGGAGGGCGTAATAAAGAAGAAGAAGACGGTGACGAAATATAAGAAGGACTAGGCAGTGAAGAAGAAAAAGACGGAGAAGGAGCCGCTGAAGAAGAAGAAGAAGAAGAAGAAGGAAACGATGAAGAAGAAGAAAATGAAGGAGGTAGTAAATAATAATAAGAAAGATGAGGCGGTGAAAAAGAATAAGACGAAGGAGAAGGGGAGGAGACAATGAAGAAGAAGAAGGTGGTGGAGGAGGAAGTGGTGACGAAGAATGATGCAGTGAAAAAGAAGATGTAGGAGGAGGCGGTGATGAAGAAGAAGAAAAAGAAGAAGAAAGAGGAGGAGGCGGTGAAGAAGACGAGCCAATGAGGAAGAAGAGGATTAAAAGGAGGTCGTGAAGAAGGCGGTCAAAAAGATGATGAAGAAGAAGGAGGAGGACGAGACGGTGAAGATGACGAAGAAGAAGTAGGAAGAGAAAGCTGTGATAAAGAAGTACAAGAAGAAAGGAGGAAGAATAAGAAAAAGGTGGCGGTAGATGCACTGAAGAAGAAGAAGAAGAAGAAGAAGAAGAAGAAGAAGAAGAAGAAGAAGAAGATGGCTGTGAAAAATAGAAGAAAAAGAAAGAAGAGGATACAGTGAAGAAGAACAAGAATAAGAGGAGGAAAAGAAGCCACGAGAAAGTGAGGAAACATTAGGGATAGAAATGAGTGGGATAATAAGCAGAAGGACGAGAAAAAGAAAAGAGAGAGAAAGAGAGAGTGAGATATTGAAAATAAAAGAACGAGAGAAGAGAACAGTGACAGAGAAAGAAGAGAAAAAATAAGAAAAGAGAAGAGATAAAATACAGTGAAGAGAAAGAGAAAATAGAGGATAAAAGAGCAGAAGAGTGAAATAGAAAAAGAGGAAGATAGGTTAAAGAGATGAGATGAGGAGCAAGTGAGGAAGAAAAGATCGAGAAAGAAAGAGAAAAGTAAGAGGAGAGAGAAAAAGAAGAAAAAGAGAAGAAAATGAAAAGCAAGGGAAGATAAAATAGAAAGACAAGATAGACTGAGAAATAATAGGAGAATGGAACAAAGAAAGAGAAAAGAAAATGCACGAAGAGAAAGAGAAGAAGGGGAAAAGAGAGTGAAAAGGAAGAGAAAGAGAAAGAATGAGTGAATGGAAGAGAAAAAGAGAGAAAGAGATAAAGAAGTAATAAAGAAGAATAAAGTAGTGGAAAATTGAATGACAGAAAATTAGTTAATCTCTACAGAAGCAACATTCTGATGTGCACCCTGTGATACAATCATCAAACTCACATATGCACATATTTGAACAATGCTGTTAGCTAAATCCACACATTCATGCATTAACAGATAAAGGCACACGCACAGACAAGCAGAAGCCTTCGAGCGGAATTCAGAGTTCAAGATAAGCCAGTTGGTGATTAAAAAGCAAAAAGGCATAATAAATCTTGTACGCAACACAGCTCGAGGGAAATAGTTTTTCCTGGCGTTTAAGCGTAGCTTTATGCATATATTCACTTAAGATAGGAATATCTGGCACATATATACATACAACCACGAAACAGAAATAATGTTTTAAATTTCTTTATATGCATATTTCTTATTACTGGAAGCGTTCTTTGAGTAAACGTAGCTGCTTATTAAGTAGTGAAATTCATGTCTGCTGTCCTAGGTATCAAAAGTATTAATAAAGAAAATCTACTTTTTAACAGGAATCGAAAAATGTATTCTCTTTTTAATCTGGGAAACCATTTTCAAGCTAAACGAGCTATCGGTCTGAATACTCAAGAAATCTTATTAAAAAATATATATGCTCTTCATCAGGGTACGAACTTGCGTTATAAATAAATAAAAAGAGCGTCTACTCAAATATGGGTATCCACTAATAATGACGTTTAAGTAATAAAAACTGCCTGATTAATCAAAAAATAAACGTCTTTAGAAATTGCTTTGTTTAAGTTGGAATACGAAACTGAGAAGATATGGAAGTTTCGAGAGTCGGAGGAAGATTTGCGTTTATAGGGAACTATACTTGGATATATATATATATATATATATATATATATATATATATATATATATATATATATTTGGTTAAGAATAGTTTTCCAGATTTTATAACTTTTAATGTTATTTTAGTATATATATATTTACATATATAAGAGAGAGAGAGAGAGAGAGAGAGAGAGAGAGAGTTGGTTGCATACCCAGACTGCAAAAATCAGTACAGGGAAAAAATTTGATTCCCTACCCAGACCGCAATCATCGGTACAGGGAAACAATTTGTTGCAATCATCAGTACAGTGAAACACTTGGATGCGTACCTACACTGCAATTACTGGTACAGGAAACAAATTGGATGCTTACCCACACCACGATCACCGGTACAGGGGAAAACTGGGCTGCCTCCCCAGACTGCAATAATAAGTAGAGGGCTACCTAGACCGCAATCATCGCTACAGGGAAACATTTGGGTGACTACCCAGACCACAATCATCGTACAGGGAAAATCTTGGAAGCTTACCCAGACCGCAATCATCAGTAGAGGGAAACACTTTGATGCCAACCCAGAACGCAATCATTGGTACTGGGTAACACTTGGATGCTTACCCAGACCACAATCATGGGTACAGGGAAAAGATTGTATGCCTACCAAAACCGGAATTGCTAGCACAGGAAACATCTGGATGCCTACCCAGACGCAAATCACCGGTACAGGACAACACTTTAATACCTATCCAGACCGCAATCCTCTTTACAGGTCAACACTTGGATGCCTACCTAGACCACAATCATCGGTACAGGGAAACATTTGGTTGCCTATCCAGACTGCAATCATCGGTACAGTCAAACATTTGGTTGCCTACCAAAACCGTAATCATCGGTACAGAGAGCAACATGCATGCTTACCCAAAACATAATCATCGGTACAGTGAATATTTGGATGCCTACCCAGACTGCAATCATCGGTTCATGGAAACACTTAGATGCTTACTCAGACAGCAATAATCAGTACAGTGCAACACTTGGATGCCAACCTAGACCACAATCATCAGTACAGGGAAATATTTGGAAACCTACCCAGACTGCAATCATCAGTACAGGGACACATTTGGTTGTCTACCCAGACCGCAATCATTGGTAAGGGAAAGATTTGTTTGCCTACTCAGACAACAATTATTGGTAAAGCGAAAATCTCGGATGCCTACCCAGAGTGCAATCATCGGTACAGGGAAAAACTTGGATGCCTACCCAGATCACAATCATTGGTACAGGGAAGCTTTTGGTTGCCTACCCAGATCTTAATCATCGGTACAGGGTTGCTTACAAAGACCAAAGTCATCGATTCAGGGAAACACTTGGATGCCTACCCTGACTGCAATCTTTGGTACCGGACAACACTTGGATGACTACCCAGATCACAATCACCTGTACAGGACAATAATTGGATGCTTATACTGTTGTGTACGATACACCTAATTTACATAAGTGGAGTACCGACCATATAAATATGGGTTGGTACCGGAAGACGGAAGATTAAGAGATCGAATCGAGAGACTCTGCCCGACTGCGATTTAGTCAACCCATTATGCAGGAACAGTCTTCCCAAGAATATACCAAAACTAACTGTAAATATTGTGTACCTTTTCATTGTTTCAATACATTTTGTTAACGTACATTTTGTGTTGTATTATTATTATTCCATGCTTATCCAAGTTTCAACATATACAGACCGCAATCATCAGTACAGGGAAACACTTGGATGCCTACCTCGACCACAATCATTGGTACAGGGAAACATTTGGTTGCCTAGCCAGACCGCAATCCTCAGTACAAGGAACATTTTTTTGCCTATCCAGACTGCAATCATCAGTACAGCTAAACACTTGGATGCCTACCCAGACCGAAATCATCGGTACAGGGAAAAAATTTGGATGCGGACTCAGACAGCATTCAAAGCTACAGGTCAACACTTTGCATGTGATATCAGATATAGAATGGCCAACAGACTCCACAAATGTTACTGAACTTACGTACAATATATAGCGATAACAATTTTCAGCTGATACCTTTTTAAGGGAAATATCTTTTGTGATTTTTCATAAAACATGCACCAATTCAGCTTCATCACTATCTTTACATATCATTAAAAGCATCACCTGAAGAAGCGGTAGTCAGGGAGTCTCGGTTGAAAATTGTTTATGTTTAGGTATGAGGAGAAAATCAGACAGTGTATGCATTGTTAATGAATAATTAATTGCAATAAATAATTGGTCCATGAGGAGGACTTCAATGAAATTAAATGGACACTGGGAAATTGATCCGAAATATTGATATCGGTTAAAAAAACACCGAAAATCCCCGAAATATGTGGATAACAACAGAGAGTCGAACTGTTCTGAACCGGTGTAAGAAGACGAGAAATTTAATGTCCGACACATATCTTCATACATGCAAAGATGTTTGTAAAAACGAAGCAATAGAGAACAATCTTCTCTCGAATCAACACCTAAAAAATCCTTATCATCAAATGAACGCAATGTTATTTTTCACTTTTGTGTATTGCTTAACTAACGGACACTTTTTATTTTTTAAGAGATATTTTCACTGAACTTATATTTCTTATTTGAATCGTTTGTTGATTTATTTCTTGATTCTTTTGTGTATGTTATAAACTCTAAATATTGCTGTAACAAGCGAGAGCCGACACTAGAAAAATATTTAACAATATTTTTTAAGTGGATGGATGTAGCGATATCAGTTGTCAGCTAATATCTTGTTAAAAGAAACTTCTGAAAGATGTTACAGAAATTGTTTCGACACTTATTGTCTTGAGAAAGAAGATCAAGTCAGTGAAAGTAGATTTAACAAGAACCATGTCAAATTACCGCGACCAAGAAGGTCAGATGTGTGGAGCAGACTTGATGAATGACTTTTTTTCGACGAGAACTGACGGGAGAAAAAAGGGATGTGTATCTATAAGACGGTAATGCCTGCCAGCCTAAAAAAAACAGAGACCGGTCGAAATCCGTTGCGAAAAGAAAAGCACACACTCATTAGACCGTAGACCCCGCCTACATCGCCTTGGTCTTCGTTCCTCGTCTACAGCAGAAGGTTACAGAGGAATAAAATTTGCTGACTGCAATCTCGTTTCATGGTTTTATTTCTGAACAAAGAATTATTTTCTATGTATTAAGTGACAAGCGTTCAACTGGAAGAAGCTGCATCCTGAGAACGAACCTAGTGCCTGGTCTGAGCTGCACCGCCACAGATATGATCAGAGAGTGGTCTGGTTCCAATCAGTTTCGAACCATTGTCAGGGCTTCCTCTGTAGGAACTCTGATGAACAGGCATACAATTCGATTGTTATGGTTAGAAACCGCCCCTGGACCAGTTCCACTGAGTGTTCTGAGTTTCTAACAGGGCGATGACTTCATTGACGATGCCCCAAGACATGGGTAGTGGAACGAGAACAATCTACTCACATAGATTAAATAAAGAGGTCAGTTCCGGATTCCCTGTAGGTTACGCTGATTGATATACATCTGAGGAAGACCGGATAGCACAACGACCGAAATGTAGTGATAACAACAACAATGATCGGGACAATATTCCGGATATAAATAATGTGGCTGTGGGATCAGGTTGAGATTATTTGACAAAGAACACCATTGGAAAATTAGTATATTTAAGTAATCAGCACATATGCTAGGCCACAAAAATCTCCTGATCCGACCAAGCATAGAAATGAATACAATATGAGAACCAGTAATAAGGAGTGCCAGAGAAAAGCGATAATAACAACAAAAATTGCAATATGAGCTCTGGTAAAAACATGAAATGATAACAACAAAAATTACAATATTAGCACTGGTAAAAAAATGGTTACTAAAAACATTAGGCTTATAATACCCAAATATTCATGCACCAACGTGCTCAAGGACACATGGCACAGTGGATAAAGGCGTTGGTTAGAACCAATGACGGGACCCAAAGAGCGTGAGTTCAATACCCGGTTAAAACTGCCGAAGTTGCAGAGGGGAATTAACAGAACACAACTGACACCCATTAAACGTGGAACTAGAACAGTCTAATCCAGTGAGCGGAATACAAAGTAAACAAAAGACATTTTGTGCGATTATTGGAAATCTATTGAGTTTTGTATTTGGCAGTTGTTTACACGAATTAAGAAATTATATAAATAGGCATTTGATTTTTTTTTGGCATTCGAATATTAGTAATTTTACATACATACATTAGCAAATAGGAAGGTAATTTACAAATATCAAATGGTAAACTCGTATATTCTCTAATCTATCTATCTATCTATCTAATTCTGTTCATATCTGTCTATCTAATTTTGTTCATATCTAATTCTATATATTCTCTCTCTGTGTGTGTGTGTGTGTGTGTGTGTGTGTGTGTGTGTGTGTTTGTGTTTTTACAGGGTGCGATGGTAAATTCTCGCCATCTTATTTTTTTAATTTCAAAATTTGGAAACGGCATACTGTACTTTTTGGCATTCGCGCCGAAAGCTCCAATACGAACATTTCATAATATTTGGGTGACAATCTGAGGACAGCGTAAAGGATTCGGAAAGAGTTGGATGATTTTAATTGTGATTACGAATTGTGATTTTTCGCAACTCGGAAAACTCACTCTGACCATTCTGATAAGAAAAGAAATCCCGGACTTGTGAGGGTCTCAAACTTAACACGGAGGCCTACATCAAGTGCCTTGAAGAGGTAGTGCTGCCCTGGGTCAAGAGGGTGACTGCTAGAAGATCCTATGTCTGGTAACAGGCCTCTGATTCATGCCATACAAGCAAGAGAATCAAGTCATGGCTGTTTGACAATTTATGCGATCATTTCACTCCTTACATCTAACTTCACAGACACTTAATTATTATGTGTCGGGCGCAATTGAGCAAGAAACCAGAAAAACTCACAGTAAGATCGCCCAGAAAACTTGCAGAAGATTCCGAAGTTTCTGGAGGCCGTGTTTGAAGCCAATAGCGATTTTATTGAATAAATTTACTCTTTAGTATTTCCAGTATATTTTTGTGTAAATTTTGTAACTATATCTGTTAAAATGAGATGTCAGTTTTATTTTTATTTTTGCGTGATTTAAACGACAATTTATTCATCGCGCCCTTCATATTTTAATGAATAATATTATATTGATGTTAAGATGAAAAAAGAAGA